TGCCTGTATGTATGTTGACGGACAATTATAGTATGCTCCAGCGGCTAACCTTTTCTTTCAATCAACGGTATACCACACTCGCTATCCAGACCAAAAGTCATGGTGTGTGCAAAGGGCAAGCAGGTACACAGAAAATATCAGGTGGAAGAAACAGATAATTGTCTTCTCCTTGTTACATCCCACGGGTCATTGTCCTCTATACCTTGAACTGTTGGTTCCTGCAGGATGTGCATTGAAAGGAAAGTGTTACAAACTTCTTGAATAAACTACGCTCTCCACAACTCGTTAGAAACAGGGAAAGTTTACATCTTGCAAGGGTAAAACATTCGGTAAAATAGCTCGTAAGCCAGTGTGTTATTTAGAAGATAGCGAGCCCCATTTTACGAAAGCTCGTTTGCGCTTGGTATAACAGCATCACTTACATGGATAAGATCACGAAGGCAGCAAATGACAACATCACTGAACTGAACGAAGTGAAATCTCAGCTCATCATCAGCATCTTCAGTCTAACTTGACATTCCAGTGCCAAATATGGTCTCTGAACAAGGTACAAGAAAGAAAAATCAATGCATTCAAACTGATTTTTTTCCGAAAAAAGCCATCAACGTCTCCAGAAGAGACCGCATAAGGAACGAGACCATACGTCTACAAACCGGAATACCACAAGTAATAGATTTCACAGAGCGTCAAAGAGTCAAATGGTTCGGACACTTCAGAATGCCCCAGAAACAACTAGCGGCTAGAGCTTACCACACCCGTGAATCCAGCTTCAGATCAAGAGTAAGACCAAGAAAGACTTGGCTGGATGGAGTTAAAAAGGTCCTGGAACAACATAACACATCTATCACTGATGCTACACACCGAGCACAGGACCGAAACTCGCGCCTCCGCTCGACATCCTAAGGATACCAGAGACAGGAAAACGTGAAAAGTAAAGTAAGTAACAGAAGCCATTTTGTGCTGTATTCGAGCGAAATAATCTATTTTCATTCTTGTGAATCAAAGACAGAAGACATCAGGGAGTTTGTGAGGAAGAGACAGAGCTACTGGACCCGAACAGAATCGTTACCAGTCAATGTGCTCTAAGAAAAGACAAAATAAGGAAACAAAAAAAAATAAAATAAAGCAAAACAAAAACAAACGCGAGCTCAAAATGGTTTTAGAACCCGCATTTGTTAGGGTTCCCATCGTTGCTGGCAGGAGACAAAGTTTAAATCCCGAAAAAGACAACTGAGGGGCACAAAACCATTGTGACACTACTCTGGGGAGAATGGCACTACAAATGTTATGCCGCAATACCTGATCACTTCCTGGTGTCTCGAAAGAAAACACTACGACTCCCACCACTCAAGATGGTTCACAGCACTGGCATTTCTCTATCATTAGATGACTAATACGAAAACAAAATAGGGCCGCGTCTTCCAGAAACCTTTTACTCGTGTAACCATCCCACATCTTCACTCTCTCCCCACCACCCACTCTCTCCCGACATCTTTACTTTTCACTATCTATCTATCTATCTATCTATCTATCTATCTATCTATCTATCTATCTATCTATCTATCTATCTATCTTTCTCTCCCTCTAATTGGCTCCTCCTCTTCTCGCTCCCATTTTCCCTCTCTCTCCCACTCTCTCTCTCTCTCTCTCTCTCTCTCTCTCTCTCTCTCTCTCTCTCTCTCTCTCTCTATCTCTCTCTCTTTCTCTCTTTCTCCTCCATTCTACTTCCCCACCCTTTTCCCACTTATCCAACGCTACCGCTGCTACCCAACTTGCATCTATCCAAGCCATTCACTTCTCTCAAATACCGTTACTCGTGCTGCGCACTTATGCAGGATTTCTCCGGTCATGCATGGTGCACAAAAAACAGATTTGTCATAAATCAACGTCTATTTGCACGAAAATCGATTTGTGAAGCATCGTGGTGAAACCAGGCGCTCGTCAAAATAATTAAATCAAAGAAAATTTGCATTTTTCCATCGGTAAGTCAATTTTTTAAAATCTGTTTTTTGGCTCAACACCTTATATGACTATTTAAAACACATTTTAATGAGGAATTTACTGGAAACGTTGGTTAAAGGCACACAAATTGTACATTTTCATTTCCAAAGGAACCTCAGTCTATGGCAGTTCCCAAAATTTGGTGGACATTTTCTCCATTGTTTGACATCTGAAACCAAGCAACTCCTACCTCCTTCAATCGCCAGAATCTTGACTTCTATTCAGGATAGATTGGTATTTTTTTCTTGATTGAAATCAAGGAAAGTGAACAAGCATTAAGATGATACCAATAACTCCATATGCCCAGAAATTGACGAGCGCTTGATTCCACCTTGTCGTAACACATTTTATCTCTCCGGATTAGCTGTGCTTGTTTTCTAGGTTTTAACAGTATTAGATTCAGACGGAAATAGTCCTCATGTTTACTAAATTAACCACAAAGTATTTATACATTCTCTTTCCGCTGAGTGATATAATTATGATAATAACGAAATTAATAAAACTCCCCAAGCGCATCAATTGTTATTCTTTTCACTAAAAGAGTATTGGAAAGAGTTTGACGATATACTTTGACTAACGAAACTGTCAGTTGTTTCTTTTTCATAAAAGAGCATCTTTTATACTCGAAAACACTTTATCCTTGCCGATTTTCGTTTGGTAAGTGTGCTACGGAAATTTCGACTTTCCGGTCGAACGACATCTAGCAGATTCGACTATTCGACGAGTCTTAGAAGTGAGCATCCCACTTAATACTCACGACTCAAAGAGAGAATTGTCCGTTTGATTCCAACACCCACGCCGGCTTACTCTACGTTCCGTTTCTCTTGTTAAGGTCCCTAATTGACGTT